ACGTGGAGAGACTTCTCCAAGATTTAAGAGCTGGTGAGAGATTGAGTGCTCTCTTTCTGCAGCGGGGCCACATGCTCTGTGGCTGTGTGGCCTTACTCGGCCTGTCCAATCACAGTGTCAGATCACAGTTCCTTGGGGACGTTTTAAGACTCCTCAGTCCTGCTGCTTCCAGTCTCGGCAGCTTATGAAGGACGCCCTGCCGCGGCTGGCTGTGGGCTCCGGGAGCCCACCTCCCGCAGCCGTCCGTTCTCACCTGCGTTTCTCTCACTGTCTACACCTTGCTTGTTCGTGGATGAGTACACCGGTTTTATTTCCTCTCAGTGCCACTCCTAGCATTTTCCTCTCCACAGAGGTAACATAATCTCCGTTGTCACAGATGCTCGTGTCTGGAGTACCCTTGTCTCAGAAGTTCTCTCATCTGTTCTTTGCCTACTCGACTATCTGGGTCAGCCCGTGGGTGTTATCGTGTTCTGGAGGATGCTTAAAAATTATCCTTTTTCAGAAATACAGCACGCTGTTTGACAGCTCCTTAAAGTGACATAGTGTATTATAATTTATTGTATATTTTAAAATAGCTAGAACAATTCAAAGAAAATTGAATAAAGAAAATACAGGTATTTAAGGTTGTGGAAAGCTTAAGTACACTGATTAGATCTTTACAAATTATATGGATAAATTATGGCATGTACACTAAAAACATGTACATCTATTATTTAACAATAAAAAATAAAGCTAAAAAAAGAAAAATACCGTTATTATTCCTCCTGTTTTAGTTGGCAGGCTCACATGAATTTTTTTTTTTTGAGACAGAGACTCAAGCTGTCCTCCTGGGTAGAGTGCTGTGGCATCACAGCTCACAGCAACCTCCAACTCCTGGGCTCAAGCAAGTCTCCTGCCTCAGCCTCCCAAGTAGCTGAGACCACAGGCACCCGCCACAACACCCAGCTATTTTTTGGTTGCAGCCGTCATTGTTGTTTGGCGGGCCTGGGCTGGATTCGAACCCGCCACCTTAGGGTATGTGGCTGGTGCTTTAGCCACTTGAGCCACAGGCGCCGAGCCAGCTCACATGAATGTTGAACGGTCAGAGCTCAAGTCACTGCAGTAACTTTACAACTGCAATCTTTAGGACCTGCAGCTTTGTGACATTCGGTGTCGCAGATGCTGTGGGAAGGGGTGGAGGGGAATCATGCACTCCCTGCCTCCCGAGGACAAGCTCTTCCCCAAAGGGGTGCTCATTCCCTACAAATGGAAGTGGCCTCATAGTAAGGAGGTTGAGATAAGGGCAGCACATCTTTTCCTCTGCGTATGTAAAATGAATTTTCCTAAAAGTCCCCTGAGGCTTATTAGCATGTGTCAGAATTTTCTTCTGAGGGCAAATAATGTTTTTTTGTATGGATACCACAGTTGGTTTATCCCTTGCTCTGTTGATTGCACACTTGGGTTGTTTCCATCTTTTGGCTGTTACGCACAGTGAGATGAACAGGTGTATAAATACCTGTTTGAATACTCTGCTTTGTTTTCCTTTTTTTGAGAGTGAGCTTGCTCTGTTGCCCTGTATAGAGTGCTGTGCTGTTACAGCTTATGACAACCTCAAATTCTCGGGCTGAAGAGATCCTCTTGCCTCAGCCTCCTGAGTAGCTGGGATACAGGCACCCGCTCCGACACTTGGCTGGTTTTTCTGTCTTTAGAAAAACGGAGCTTTTGCTCAGGCTGGTCTGGAACTCCTGAGCTGAGGAAATCTACCTGTCTTGGCTTCCCAGAGTGTTAGGGTTACAGGTGTGAGCCGCTTCACTTGGCCTTAGTCCCCAGCTTTAAATTCTTAGGGGCATATGCCCAGAGATGGAATTGCAGGGTCACATAGGAATCTATTTTTAATGTTTTGAGGAACCACCATACTGTTTCTCCATGGCTGTATGATTTTCCTTCCTACCAACAATACACAAGGGTTCTAATTTCTTCATGTTTTGGCAAACACTTATTTTGTGTTTTGTTGTTGTTGTGTTGTGTTGGTTTGGCTGTTTTGAATCCCCCCACCCTAACGGTGTGAGGTATTTCATGGTCTCAACTTGTGTTTCTCCAATGGCCACTAAGCATTTTTTTCGTGTGCTTATCGTCAGTTTGTGTATCTTCTTGGGGAAAATGGCTATTTAAGTAAGTTCTTTGACTATTTAAGTTAGGTTGTTTTTCTTGTTGTTGAGTTCCAGAAGTTCTTCACATGTTCTGAGTATTAACCACCTTTCACATCTATGGATTGCAAGTATTTTTTCCCATTCCATGAGTTTCCTTTACACTCGGTTGTGCTGTCTGTGCACAGAAAGTTTTAATTTTGATGTTGTCAAATCTCTCTTCTATTTTTGTTACCTGCATTTTGGTAAGAAACGATTGCCAAATCCAGTGTCATGAAGTTTTCCCTCTGTGTTTTCCTCTGAGGGTTTTGTAACCTCACGCTTTGGTCTTTAATCCATTTTGAGTTAGTTTTGTACATGGGGTAAGGTAAAGGTCCAGTTTCATTCCTTTGCACCTGGGTATCTGACTGTCCTCTTCCCCACTGGATGGTCTTGGCATCCTTGTTGAACATCATTTGTCAGGGTCTGATCTTGAGTCTTGAATTATAAACCCTGAGCCTCCTCAGTGTCTTTCCTGGGTGTGCCGTCAATGCCGCTTTCCTAAGCACCTCATTTATGTTAGCGAGACTCTGCTTAAAAGACCATCACCCCAAAACAGTTCCTTTTCCCGTTGTCTGTGTGTGTGTGCAGGGGTTGTTATTCCAAACTCAGTTCTTATAAACCCTCATTGTGCTCTTTTTAACAATGTTAACGCTAATTTGAAATTCTCATTTCAAATTGTTCAGAGTTTATGTCTGTAGGTCCTATTAGTTCAATAAAATAAAAAGCTCTGGAAGCCTAAAGTCTAATAAATACTGTGAAACAACTGGAAAAATCTCGTGTGAAAAGTAGATTCTAAAAAACAAACCAAAAAAAAGCAAATTCTTGATTGACTCAACACAGCCTTTTGTTTTTATTTGAAGACAGAACACTGCTGAATCCAATTAAGTTGAAGAAAAATGCTACTTAATTTTCATAGTACTTATCAAAGCTGCATTTAAAGTGAAGACTATTCCTTTGATGAAATTTGAGCACAGTATACATGGTGCGTAGAGTTTTGTTGGGGGCATGTTCCAAAATGCCGACAGCTCTTGGGAGCTCACATTATGTGGCTGTGCTGACAGATGTTAGAGGACTTGGCTCAGATTCATAATCATGGTTTTTATTTCTTGGAGGTCTGGAAGTCACTGCCCAGGCTATACAGAATACAGAATTTTACAGGAGACTGAGAGCTCAGAGGTGCCCCTGAATAGTAGAGTGCAGAGATCCATCTGTGGACGCTAAGTTATTTAGCAAATCTGAAGGAGGTGCATTGAAAGGATTGTTTATACATGTATGTTTCTATAGAAACAATTTGTTCTGTGTGGAATGGTGCAGGAGTCTAGTTCATATTCCTGTCTGGGTGGAGACGTTCTAGAATTGGCTGTTCCTGGCTTGGCACCTGTGTGTGGCTCAAGTGGCTAAGGTGCCAGCCACATACACCTAAGGTGGCGGGTTCGAATCCAGCCCGGGCTGCCAAACAATGACGGCTGCAACCAAAAAATAGCCGGGCGTTGTGGCGGGCACCTGTGGTCCCAGCTACTTGGGAGGCTGAGGCAGGAAACTCGCTTGAGCCCAGGAGTTGGAGGTTGTTGTGAGCTGTGAATCCACAGCACTCTACCCAGGGGGACAGCTTGAGGCTCTGTCTCAAAAAAAAAAAGAATTGGCTGTTCTCTTCTTGGTCAGTCAGTGAGTGCCGAGCAGAGGGAATGTCCGTCCACCCTTCCAGAGGACTTCCACCCCGGCACAGCAGTCTACTGACTTGGCACTTTCAGTACCTGTCACCTTCAGTTCCACTGCTGTCAAGGAAAGAGAAACTGGTTTTCTTTAAAGCCAGTGAACCAATTTAACCTCCCATGCACAGTTAGAAATCACGACCTCTGATTATGTAAAGTTCATGCCCTCATGGTAGAAACACTAATTCTTTGACTTAACTAAAATTTATTCTTTTCTTATGATAGAATTTTAACTTGATGATGTATATATACATTTGTATCCTTAAGTGACACTCCCACTATAGTTTTATATTCCTTATACATTTATTTATTTATTTTTTTGGTGCCTAAACTCATAGTGGTGGATAAATAACTGAGTTCATCACTGACATTACTCATCTCTTGGGTCTGTCTTTACAACAGAACTTTGATATTAAATCACTTAAGCAATGTCTTACATTTGTCTCCTATCTGTGCTAAAAAAAATTAGTTTAGCTCATGTTACAGAACACTGTATACTTATCTATCACTGGCAACTCGCAGTGCATAACCGTTCTGTGTTCTTGAACTTAATAAATAAATACAGTCAAGAATCTCTCATCCTTCAAGAATTTTAAAAAAGTAAAGCTGGTAGGGTTCAAATTTTGACTACAGGACAAGTTTCTCAGAAAAACCTGCCTGTTGGTGTCTCCAATGTATCCTTGAGATGACAGTGCACGTGTCATCAGTGCGTTGACCGGTAAGTAGTGCACAGTCATCAGGCCTGACCAGTGCATATGTCATCAGTGCACATATCACTGGGGCATTGACCAGTGCACACGTCATCAGTGCATTGATCAGTAGTGCACATGTCATCAGAATGCTGACCAGTGCACATGTCTTCAGTGCACATATCACTGGGGCATTGACTAGTGCACACATTATCAGGGCATTGACCAGTGCACACGTCATCAGTGCATTGATCAGTAGTGCACATGTCATCAGAATGCTGACCAGTGCACATGTCATCAAGTGTGTTGAGCAGTGCTCACATTATCAGGGCATTGACCAGTGCACTTTGCTGTCTCTCTCTGACACAAAATATTAACATACGTGTATTTTTTTCCACAGTAAAACCGACTGTAATCGACGTTGACATTTATGTTAACAGTATTGGCCCTGTGTCATCAATAAACATGGTAAGAATGTGTTTTATTTTCTGATCTGATGGGCTGTTGTAACCATTCTCACTTCTCTTCTTACTGTGCTTGTCTCTGAAGTCTGTCATGCAGGTTTCAAACTGACACTTGACTTTTTAAATCTGTAACATCGATTGGCAGTGCAGATATTGAAAATGGTTAAAAAAATTTCAGAAGTAGAGGTTGTGCCCGGGCAGCTTTGGGACTTCTAGCTCCTTCGAGAGAGTTGCCTTCTAGTGTTTCCCAGCAAAGGATCCGAGATAATGCAGATTATACTTTTTTCTTCAGTTTGGACTTGGAGGGTAAATAACCCTTTTTTCTATAAGAAAAGTATAGGATCAAATATGTGCTTTCCCTAAGTTGGTTATTTGCACAGACTTAAAGCAAATTGAGATCAAGAGCTATTAATGCACAAGAAGCTCTTCTGTGAAAGCTTTCTGGGCTACAAGCAGATTCTGAAGTGTGGGAATGTGGTGGGGCCACAGCCTTTGTTCTGAGCTGAAGGCCAAGGTGCGGCTGCCTGCAAGGGGGCATCGGCCCTGGAGCAGGCCTCCCGTGGCAGCTCTCCTGCCTGCCAGGGCCCTGCCTGTGCCCACTGCTGCACATTTGCTCCAGAATTGGGGAGACATGTGAGGCTGAGGTGGGGAGATTGCCAGAATGCTGACTTAAATGCATTCTTTTCATTGCAGTGTTCTGTGGATGGAAATAACCCCTCCAAAATTAGTAGCGAAATCATTTCTTTTCATTGCCAGATTTTGAAAGTGTTCTCTTCTCTGGTGATATAAGGGTTCCATGTAGGGGTAAAGTTATATTTATGAGTGATTCACATAAAAAAAAATCTCCAAGTCATCCCTAAACTGGAGCAAAGAAGTGAAATGAATAAATGAAAGAGAATTATTTCACACAACCTTTGGGCTGCAGATGGCTGTGGATGAAAATCAGATTTTGAATGTAGTATCCCTTTTTCCTGACACACCACTATCCAGCTGACTGCAGAAAGGGGGTAGTCGTTTCTGGGTGGTTTGTCCCTGTTCTGGAGTTTTGGTTTTTCAGTGTTTGCCCCACAATGCTTTATTCAGTAGCTTTATGTGCAGCTTTAAGAGAACAAGTGGATTTACTCTCACAAAATTATTTTAGGACGGTTCTTACATTTGCAAATCTGGGGATTTTCATGAATTCTTATAACTTTGAGGTTTGCTTTGTGCCCAGCATGAAGCTTTGTGGTTGGAATTGATGGGTAGGGTGACCAGACGTCCCGCTTTTGAACAATTTGTCCTGTGTCCCGTGGCGTTTAAAAAAGTCCTGATTTTTGGAAAGAATGCATGAACGGGCGGGAGAACAGGAAGGGAATATACGTTTTTTGGCTGCCATGTGGCTATTTCGCCAGAGTATGAGTTTTATATTATTTTTGTAAATTTTATATTGTTAAACTGTAATAATAACAAATAATTGTTGAGAAGTGATTATCGA